ACCAACAATAACCCAACCATTTCCCTTCTGATGACTGTTGAGGTAATTTCTACTCGGCACAGTTTTGCCTGTCTTCTTGCCCAGACTCTGGCACCGGTGTCTGTTCATTAACATCAGACCTCATGCTCACAGAAATACCAGGCTGACACTTACTGAGCACCTGCTGAATGCTCAGCACCACTGTGGTTCCCCGATTCTGGACAATAGTCTTGTCAGGTGGTAACTGGTGTTAGCCCCACTGCACTGAGTGAGAGATCTGGCTCCAACTTGGTCCTTGCTCTTTTCCTCTCTGTGTCTCTTTCTTCAGGTATCAGTCCCATGGCTCACGACCCACCTTCCTCCATCTTTCCTTGCCCTTATTCTCTATTTCTCCTGTCACACACCCATTTGAACCCTTGCTTTCCCCCTGTGCACTTACTCAGCAAATGTCATTAATATTCTCTGCTAGGTTTTGTCTTTGCTCTGGGGGGAGACAGGGGATACAGTCCAGTTTAAAAGTGACACTTGTTGGGCATGATGGTGTGCACCTGTCATCCCAGCTAAGTGAGAGGCTCAGGCAGGAGGGATCACTGGAGCCCAGGAGTTTGGGGCCAGTCTAGATAGCATAGTGAGATCTTGCCAGAAACAAATAAACACAGCATTGACACTGCCTGTGGTGGGCAGTGGCAGAGGATGCGGGCTGTGCACAGAGACCGTCTTTGCTAGGATAAACAAAGACAAATTTCCTGAGGCCATGCCTGTTCATTGGACCTCAGAGGTGAAAGAAGGGCTCCCCAGGTAAAGACTGGGTGCTTTCCCCTCCAACTACTTTCTGCCTGACTCTCGCAGAGCCCTGAGATGGTGTGAGGATGGGCAGCAGACTCTCCTCCATAGGTGAGGAAAGCTAGAGGCCACACTCATTTCAGGGAGGCAGCTGAGCACAGAGGTGAGACTCCACCAGATGTGGGGTGTGACAAAGATGAAGCTGAGAGCTTCACAGTGGGCGGGGCCGCCTGGCTCAGATGTCCCAACCACAGAACGTCATGGTCCTCCCAGCTTGGCTGCGGCCTAAGCTTTTCCCCTGCATGGAGGCCTTGTTTCCTTCCCTGGAGGGTGAGACTGGAGCTCTGGAGCTCCACCAAGCCACGAAGCTTAGAGAAGTGTTCAGAGCAGTCCCTGTGAGATCTTGGCCAGCAACTTTATCTTTTGGGGGCTTAATTTCTGCTCCCACATATTGGGAATGGTGACAGAACACTGAATTGTAGGAAGCAAGTAGTGGTCATCATAAGGACAGCTCCCCTTTATGTGGCATTTACCATCTGCTTGGGGCTGGGCCCTGCAAGCCCCTATCACCCTTGGAGATCTGCTGTTTATTATCCTCCACCCCTCTTTCTTTCTTTTTTTTTTAATGGTGCTGAGGATGGAACTCAGAGCCTTGTACATGCTAGGTGAGTGCTAAACCCCTGAACTACACCCCCAGTTCCTACTATTCCCATTTAATACCTATGTGAAATGAGCTGAATCAGAGAGGTAAAGCAGCTTGCCCAGATCACCCAGTGGGCTGGAGTTTGTTGGCACTGGCTCTAGAACCTGCACTCAGGTCCTTAGCATCTGCTCTACACCGAGTCACTTCCCAGCCCAGGCCTGTGCCCTTAAATCATCTCCCTCTTTCCCTCTTGTCTCTTTTCATAGCCTGCCCATCTATCTACCTACCCATCCATCCCCCTCATCCCCATCCATTCATTCTCCCAATCCATCCACCCCATCCATTCTCCCACCCATCCATCCATCCACCTGCTCATCCATCCATCCATCCATCCATCCACCTACTCATCCATCTATCCATCCATCCATCCATACATACATACATACACCTACTCATCCATCCATCCATCTACCTGCTCATCCATCCATCTATCCACTTGCTCATCCATCCATCCATCCCCCCAATCCATCCACCCCATCCATCCTCCCATCCATCCATCCACCTGCTCATTTATCCATCCATCCATCCATCCATCCATCCATCCACCTACTCATCCATCTATCCATCCATCCATCCATACATACATACATACACCTACTCATCCATCCATCCATCTACCTGCTCATCCATCCATCTATCCACTTGCTCATCCATCCATCCATCCCCCCAATCCATCCACCCCATCCATCCTCCCACCCATCCATCCACCTGCTCATTTATCCATCCATCCATCCATCCATCCACCTACTCATCCATCTATCCATCCATCCATCCATCCATACATACACCTACTCATCCATCCATCCATCTACCTGCTCATCCATCCATCTATCCACTTGCTCATCCATCCATCCATCCCCCCAATCCATCCACCCCATCCATCCTCCCATCCATCCATCCACCTGCTCATTTATCCATCCATCCATCCATCCACCTACTCATCCATCTATCCACCCATCCATCCATACATACATACATACACCTACTCATCCATCCATCCATCTACCTGCTCATCCATCCATCCATCCCCCCAATCCATCCACCCCATCCATCCTCCCATCCATCCATCCACCTGCTCATTTATCCATCCATCCATCCATCCATCCATTTACTCATCCTCCCTCCCCCCTCCCTCCTTCCTTCTTTCCTTCCCTGGCTTTCTTCCATCCTTCCTTTCTCCCATCCTTCCATCTTCCTTCCTTCCTTCCTTCCATGAGGTTATGGGGCCCACAATGTTCTAGGTGCTGGGAGCACCGTGGGGATGAAGTAGGTACAGATACTGCTCAGGAGCCTACAATTCAGCAGTGAAAACAATTGCAAGCAAGTAAACACATAAATTCCTTTTTTCTCCCCCACCCCCTTTTTTTGGATGCTTTTCTGCTTAGGCGATCCTTGGCTGTTGACCTGCCGCTTAATGACAAACAGACCGGCCCAGGCCTGTGGGCTTCTCTGCCCAGCTGTCATATTTAGAGGCCCTTCATCATTGTATCTGCAAATCTTTCTTCCTGGTTGGTCAGATTCCTCAGGGAGGTCTTTCCTCCTCCCCTCTTCTGGATCCTAGATGCTGGGGCTGGGGAGGGGAAGGGTGGAACAGGGGATGGGTGTCTCAATTTCAACACTTAGTTTCCAAGTTCATTAACACTTCTGTTTTCAGCAGGTCCCCCTAACATCAACTATGTTATTCCATTCAGAAACTCCACCGTTTTCTGCTCTCCTGGGTGTGTGTGTGGGGGGAGAGCTTTCAGTCCTGGTGGAGAGAAAGGATGAGGTTTGCAATTAACCTTCAGCAATCTCCTGCATTCTCAGGGTTGGGATGGGACTCACCAGTGACAGCCAGAGGTGGTGGGATGGGAGGGAAGTGAACTTTGTGTCCCGCTGGTTTATAATTTTGGTTTAGGCCTTCACCAATTGCCTGTCATCATGATGGGAGAGAGTGAAAGTATACTGGTGCACAATTTGTCATCTTTTCCACAGGGGTGGTTTGAATTTGGACTGGAATAGTCAGAAGGTGTCTGCTGGCTGCAGTGGGCATGAGGATAGCATTCTAGGCAAGTGTAAAGAGGCATTGGAACAAGGCAATGGGTTCTCAGATTTGGGCGGGTGGGTGGACTCTTCTGAGGGCTCCTTTAAACATCCATCATGGACCATCAACATCTATTGCTAAACCCAGATCAAAATTTTTTTTTCAAAATTTGCATAGCTAACCCATTCTAAGTGCTGTAGGGGGTGGGACCTCACAGGGACACACATTCTCTACCTCATGATCTTTTTCTCCATGATTCTCCAGGGAGGCTCAAGACACAGGATCAAAGGCAGGGCTGGCATCTTAAGACACCTGCACTAATATCCACTGACACCTGGCTGGGGTGGGGGATGTAGCTCAGTGGGCTCCCTCCCCAGCATAGCACGAACAAACAAACAAACTTCACATCCATTTTATGGGTTGTTGGTAGAGGACCTGGTCCACTCCCTGCCTTGGGATAGTGAGGTTTTGAGGGGGAGGGAGTGCACTAATGTCTACTCTGGCAGAACAGGACTCTAACAGAGGCCTGTGCAGAGCACTCAGTTCTCAATTCCTCTTTTGGGGCCAGGTTTTGGCTTCTTCTCTGCTTCTTCTTGGGCCCCCACCTCCACTAGGCAAGACCAAACGGGAAATTTGAGGTTCCTCCGGCTCACTTAGACTGCCCCTGGCCCTAGGGGAATTTCTCCACCTGGACTCTCCAGCCTTCTGCTTTGGGGTCCCAAGGGGCTCCTGACGGGAAGCATCCAGTAGGTGGGTGGGGGCAGGCCAGGAGAAGAGGGGTCCTGGGGAAGGAGAGGGGAGGGGGCAGGCAAAGCCCGGATGTCCTCTGACTCCTCTGCCAGAGTACTGGATTGGGGGGGAATCCTGGGAGAGTCCCAGTGATGGGGAGCTAGGGACTGTGAAGGAGATGCAAGAGATAAAGAGAGACAGGGAGACTCCAAAAGTGATAGAGACACAGAGAGATGAGAGATAGAGAGAGACTTGGCAGGGGGAGAGAAAGATTGAGAAGAGAGGAGAGAGAGAGAGAGAGACACACACACACACACACACACACACACACACACACACACAGAAACACAGAGAAACAAGGAGGCAGAGAGCTAGATCTCGCCACTCACTCAGGGACAATCAGTAGAGACAGGGAAAGGGGAAAGAGGAAAGAGGGAGACACACAGAGAACAGGAGAGAGACAAAGTTTCAGAGAACAAGAGGCAGAGGGAGGATGAGATGGGAACTTCACGTGGTACCGCATCAAGTTGTGGGGGGGGACAGTTACCCCATCAGTTCTTATCTGATAATAAAAAAAAAAAAGGAAAAGAGGAACCGGGGGTGGGGCAGGGCCTGGAAGGCCGGGGAGAGAAAGGAGAGACGCGACAGGAGAAAGTTCCAGCGAGTGACAGGGTGACAGGGCGGAGCGCGGGCCGGGATCCCCGAGGGCCGCCCCGGAAAGCTGTGCTTCCGGCGCGGTATAAAGCGCGGCCACCCGCGGGCTGCAGTCACTCGCCAGCCGCCATGGACCTGCGCCCCGACGTCGCCGCGGACCCCGAGGCCCCGTGGCCGCCCGCGCCGCGCGCCCGCGCCTGCCGCCCCCTGCTCTGGACCCTGTGCGCCTCGCTCCTGCTACTGACTGCCACCTGTGCCGCCTGTGTCGCCCGCATCTGGATGATGTCGCTGGAGGCGCCTCCAGCCTCGCCCAGCCTCGGTCCCTCGCCCAGCCCCAGATCACCCGAAGGCCTTCAGCAGGTGAGAAGTGCCTGGACCTAGGCACGGGAAGACACCTACCGCCGCCCTGGACCCCATTCTCTTTTCGCACCCCCGGAACATCACTTCGGTACCTCCGGCCACACCTCTCATGGCCCTTCTCCATCTCTCACCGTGCGGAGGTCGCCTTTTCATCCCGCACGATTGCATGTCCCCAGCTGCATCCCGGGCCTGGGGGAAGACACCCTGCCATTCTTCTGGGAGCCCCGAGGGGCCCCTTCTCCATCCAGGACGGAGGGGGCACCCCTTTTCCATCCTATACACCTGCGAGTTTCCATTTGCCTTCCACTACCAGGCTGAAAACATTTTCTCCAACTTGGACCCCAAAAGACACTTCTTTGTCTCCCGCCACATACCTTCCTGCGCAGTTCCTTTACTTACTCTCAGATAGCCTGGCTACTTTTCAGGATCCTTGGGGACATTCCCCACTCCTTCTCAACACCTCAAGGGGACCCCCCTCACCATGTTCCCGATCTTTCCTCTCCTCCACCCCTATTCTCTCGGGTCTGTCCTTGCACACAACACGGGACTGGGATAGACTGAACACTGACTTCATCGGTGCTTTCTTTTTCTTTGGGGGGTGGTGGTGGTGGAGGGGGAGCTTGGGCTCAAGGCCTGCTCAGGGTGTGACCAGGGACGGGACCCGCAACTTCCCGGAGCTGCAGATGTAGGGAAAGCCTTCATCCACATTCTTCTTTTCCTTTCTTCACAGGGGCAAAGAGTGTTCGCCAAGCTGTTGGCAAAAAATGGTAAGTGTCCTGTGCTACTTTTCCTGCCTGCTCCGCAGGGGTGTTGAGAAGGGGCATCCAACCCTGTCCCCTGGGAAAGCTGCCACTTCACCTCTTTGAACTCCGTCTATCCCCCTGTTTAACCTCCTGACTCTTCCTGGATATCATCTCCTCCCCTTCCCATCAGACCCCATCCTGACCCACTTTGGGCTCCAGCCCTGAGAGAGCTGGGACTCTGAGAGTTCTGAACCCTCGTCTCCACTCTCGTCTCCTCCCCATCTTCCCACCAGCCCTTCCTTCCTCCTTCCTGTCCTTGCCCTCTTCCTTCCCACCCTTCTCCCCAGCCTTCCCTCTTCCCTCCCCCTTCACACTCTCCTTCCCGCCCCTCTTTTGGAAGTTGCCCCCTCCTCACCCCACCCCTCCTCTGCCGGATCCTTTCTAGATCTTCTCTTTTGTTCTTCTCAAAGTTCTCTCATTTTTTTCCCTTCCAGGTTTTCCCCTTTCTCCTTCCACCCCGTTCCCCCGTTTCCTCGGCTCCTCTTCCCTCCTCCCCTCCCCCATTCTATCCCATTCTCCCCTGACCTTCACTTCCCACCAAAGTGACCTCCCAGTTTTGCCATTCAACTTTTGCCCCTCTCCCCTTGGTGATAACTCTACTTTCCAATCCTAGACTCTCCCCCTCCCACTCTCTTTCCTATTGTCTACTTGCTGTCTTGGATTTCCACACCTTTCTGATGGTCATCGTCCTCCTTCTGTTCTGTCCCCTCCTTCCCCTCTCCCAGTCCCACTCCCCACTTTTGCCTAGGGTCAGTCCCCTCCCCAGGACTGTTACAGCCCCTTCTGTTCTTAACATCCGCTCCTCCTTCCCCTCTGCAGTAACTCTGGAGAACGGGATCCTGAGCTGGTACAGCCAGCCAGGGCTGGCAGGGGTGTTCCTATCCCCCGGCCTGAGCTACAATGAACACCAGAGGGAGCTGGTGATAGCCAAAACTGGCACCTACTTTGTCTTCTTGCGACTGAAGCTGCATAAGACGTTGCCCACCGCCAACGTGGAGGGCACCATCACCCTGGCTCTGCAGCTGCAGCCGCCCCAAGCTGGGGCCAAAGACCTGACCCTGACGGTGAAACTGCAGCATTACTCTGGGGAAGATGAACCTGAACTTTTCGGGGGCCGCCTGCTGCACCTGGACGCTGGCCAGCGCCTGAGTGCCCGCCTGGGTGTCCACCTGACAGGAAACACCAACCACTGGCAGCTTGCTCAGCATGCAACTGCCTTTGGGACTCTTCCGTGTGACCAAAGGGATCCCTGGGGAACTCCTCGAATGATGCCCAGCTTGAATGCTGCAGCTCTTCCTTTCACATGGCCCTGGTGCTGGGACATTGATGCTCTACCTCATGGCCCTGAGTAGGGGGTCTTGATGCTGACCCCTCCTTTGAGGACTCTTGGTATTTATTCTGAGCCTGAGCTCGGAGAGAGCACTTTATATATTAATTGTACTACACTTGTATTTATTGAGCACCTGCAATGTGCCAGAAAGGTGCTAGAGAGACATCAGGAAAAACAGATGAAAAACACTTATTTATGTTAATGAGTGACAAATAAATGGGTTTCATAGAGCTAACTTTTAGGGTATGTGTAAATCTGCTGTCTGAGCCTCATTCTTTCATCTGTTTACTGAAAATCAGGCACTATTTTCTTACTTTTTTGCAGTGTTGGGGATGGAACCTACCACATGTCAGGTATTTGACTGGGCAAACCCACCAGGATTCAGGCACTGGTTTAATTTCTGGGGACACACCTGTGAATATGACAGTCCCCACAATATGCTTTGATGAGAGAATGATCTGTTTATTGGCATGAAAGTCTGGACTTTATGACATGGTTGTGTGAGGCTCCCCAGAGAGACAGAGCCAGTAGGAGCTACAGAGATATAGACGTTCGTAGATGCGTAGACATTGATGGCTCAGACAGTGATGGAGGCAGAGGTGCAGGAGCCCATCTGTGAGCTGGGATGCAGGGAACAGGGCATGGTCCAGTGTGAAGTGTCAGAGTCAGGGAAGCTCATGGTGTGAGTCTTAGTTCCAGGCTCTGTGTGTGTGTGTGTGTGTGTGTGTGTGTGTGTGCATGTGTCAGACAGACGGACACTGATGTACTGGCATTTCCTGTGCTCCAGCATGAGTCGTCCTGCACTGGAGACCTGTAAGTACCCCACACCTTAGAGACCTGTCAATTGCTATTTTATTATTTCCTATGTCTGCACTTGAGGTGATTTGCCATGGGTCCATGTGGCAGAAAGGCCATGTAATAGCATCTTGCAGTCCATCTCTGCTGAGTCACATCCTTAAGTTGAAACCAGCCAAGGTGAGTAATTACTTTCACCACAGGCATAGGCAAACGCTATAAGTCCGGGCTGCATTTCCACTGTTTGTTGATTACCTAGATTTCAGAAAGTGGAGGAAATGCTAATGTCAAATTTAGAACTTCGTCTTTTCTGCAGCGGTTAGATTATAACCAGCATAGAAAATTGAGGAAGCCCTTAGCCACTTAAAAACCTTATGGTTCAGCAAAGAATTGCCTTATGCTGTTGACAAGCGAATGAAGTACCAACATTCTCAACTTTTCATTTCATATGACACTTTTTTTTTTTTGGCAGTACTGGGATTTGAACTCAGGGTCTCACACTTGCTAGGCAGGCGCTCTACTACTTGAGCCACCCCCCAGTCTCATCTTACACTTAATAAAGGCAGCAGACCTGGTGGTGTAGGCCTGTAAATCCCAGCTACCAGGGAGATGGTGGAGCAGGGGGATTGCAGTTCAAGACTTGGCAAAATCAACAAATAAGCCAGATGTGGTGGGTGTCACGCCTGTCATCCCAGCTACAATCAGAGGCATAGGTAGGAGGATTGAGGTCTGAGGCCTTCCTGTGCAAAAATGAGAGACCCTATCTGAAAAATAACCTAAAGCAGGGCAGAGAGGCGTGGCTCAAGTGAGCGCCTGCTTAGCAAGTGCAAGGCCCTGAGTTCAAACCCCAATATTTCCAAAAATAAATAAATAAGCACATAGATAAATAAATGCATATATCAACAAATGTCATTCACTTGTCAGTGGTAACCAAACGTTAGTTAGAGGTACACAAATTTTAAGAAAATTAGGGAAAATGTTCTTGGAGACTCAACTGAGTATGTGGAGTGTTGCAATGAAGACTATGTCCTATTTGTTGTCAGAGTCTCCGACATAGCACGGTTTGGCTTGCAATTTCCTGCTTCATGATGGTATGAAAGCAGAACTACACAATCACTCAACTTCTCACTTTCAGTGCAGTGCTCAATTATGTGGAATGTTTTTTTTTCTTTTTGGTGGCACTGGGGTTTGAACTCATGGCCTTGCACTTGCTAGGCAGGTGCTCTACCACTTGAATCATGCCTCCCTGCCTTTTTGCTTTAGTTTTTTTTTTTTCAGATAAGGTCTTGTATTTTTGCCTGGACCAACCTGGACTGAGATCCTCCTACCTACAACCTCTGTGTTGCTGGGATGATAGGTGTGCCTACCACACCCAGCTTTCTTGGTTGAGATGGGATCTCACCTTGAACCATGATATTCCTGATTTCTGCTTCCAGAGTAGCTGGGATTGCAGGCATGAGACACCATGCCTAGTTGTGAGATAGCTTTGCTTCACCTGTACGTCAGCTGGCCTAAGTTTGATGTTTTATCGTCAGACAGATTCAATGCTTTTCCAACTTACGACATTTTTCAACTCCTCTTGGGTTTATTAGGAGGTAATGACAAAGTATACCAGGGAGCATCTGTAGTGTACAAGCAGCGCTGCTGCTATGTGTGATGGCCAGGCGTGGTTCCACAAGTCCCCAGGGTAATCCATGTTACGAACATCACATTATATTTCTGAATTCCACATTCCAAAACATGTCTGGCTTCTAGTACTTGGGATCGGGGAGTGTGGATTTGTTCGACGGGTGGGTGTGAGCCAGGAGTGTCTATAAGAGGCACGAGGAACACTCCCACCACTGGGATGTGTGGGCCAGGAAAGAGGCTCCAGTCTGAGGCTTTACTTCGAAAGTGTATTTTTTCCAATGTTTTGAAGAAGGCTGCTTTCTCTTGCCACCACAGGGTCTGGCTTGGTCTTCTCAGGACACTTCTGGTGCCCACAATGAGTACGTGTGACTGGTAGCTCTGCCCACCGCAGCATCTCTGGGTGGCACTCTTCGTTCATAGAACGTTCTGTGAGCTCCTCTTACAGCCTGTGTGCATGCTCATGTGTGTATTGGGGTCAGTGCAGTGATGAGAGTCATATCAACCAATCTAAGGCCTGAGTGAGGCACATAAGGTAAAGAGGAGATTTGGGGAAGAGCAGTCCAGGCAGCAAGGGCAGCATGTGCAAAGGGCCTGGGGCAGGAGGGTGCTGGAATTGTGTAAGATGGAGATCAGGTGGTCAGACCACACAGGCTGTGGATACCAGCCCCAAGCTTTATCCTGAAGGAAGAAATAGACTCAAGCCATCAAGAGAACAGATTAGTATGTTGGAAGATTGATCTGCGAAGGTATAGAGTTTGAACCGGAGGCAAAGATTAGAGGCAGAGAGGCACTGACACGGCCCATGGACTCACTCATCCAAATGATGGGCGGTGGAGGTCGGGACGGATTGCTGGCTGTGAAAGTGGAGGGGTGAGGAACGGTAGGAGAGATGGGGATGATACAACAGTGCAGGAGAGGACAAGCTTTTGAATCTAGGTATGATGGAGGAGCTAAAACTTCTGACAGCTGTAACGGGATAGACGGTGGAGGAGATTATAAGTTTGGGGACCCTGGAGGATTTCAGGTCCCTTTGCAGTATGTGGGATTTCCAAGGTGTCACCATCCAGGTGGCCAAGGGCGAATTCTGGGCTGATCTTGCAGATTTGGGAGCTGTTTGTTGGGTTATGAATTTGAGAGTCGGTTTTCTGCTGTCATGCAAATTTGGGGCAAGGATGACTGTCGTAGGAACACAAGCAAAGATGTAGGAGAAAAGCGTGCATGTGATGGAGCACCAAGGAACTTCAAGATATTATGGTTCAGTGCGAGGGCAGGAAAAATGCCAGGGCCAGCCAAGCCGGAAAGAGGGAAATGACCATTCCAGGAAGGAATGTGTTTCAAGAAGGAAGTATGCAGTAATGAACACGTATAATCCCAGCATTTGGGAGGCGGAGGCAAGAGAATCACCAGGGCCAGCCCAGACTGGGGTGCATAGCAAGACCCTGTCTCATAAGGTGAAAAAAGGAGCGCAATCATGGCTTACACTGTACAGCACCCACTTAGCAAGCCAGAGGCCATGAGTTCAAACCTCAGTACTTCCCCTCCCCCATGTACAAAAAGGAGAGGCTGTCTATGCAGGCTACTCAAATTCTTCATTTGCTACTAATTTGTGGAGCGTCTATGACACAACACAATCTCTTCACGCCACTGAGCAGAGCCCTGGCCAGACCACCATGGTCCTCGTGACTGGAATCCAGCCAGTGCTCTCAGTTCTCTTCGCAACTGACTCTGCCTGCTGGGCACCACTGACCGCTACTTCCTTCTTTTCTTTGATTTTTTTTTTTTTGGCAGTCCTGGGATTTGAATCCAGGGTCTAACGAAGCAAGTGTTCTACCATTTAAGCCTGTCCCAGCTCCTTTTCTTAATTTATTTTTATTTTTATTTTTGAGACTGTGTAGCCCAGGAGGAACTGGATCCTCCTGCCTCAGCCTCCTAAGGGCTGGGATTATAGACACGCATCACCATACCCAGCTCCTCTTTCTCTCTCTCTCTGGCAGTATGGGTTTGAAACTCAGGGCCACACGCTTGCTCAGCAGACACTCTACCACCTGAGCCACACTCCCAGCCCTTTTTTGCTTTAGATTACTTTTCAGATAGGCTCTTGATTTTTTGCTTGAGGCTTGCCTAGGACCATGATCCTCCTACCTATGCCTCCTGTGTAGCTGGGATTACAGGTGTGTACCACTGCATCCATCTCTCTTCTCTTATAAAGCCCGTACTAGTCAATCATGGGGGCTCCATCCTGATGACCTCACCTAATCCTCATCACCCCCAAAGGCTCCACTTCTAACACCATAAATTTCCACTGTCTTTACACATTGCAGTGGGGGTTAACCCTGTGCAAACTGTAGCTGTCCCCAACCCTCTCCCTCCCTCTGGCCTCTCCTCCTTTCTGTTTGTTATGCATATAAGCTCGAGTTCATCTCATATGAGTCAGACAAGGTCAGGGTTATTAGGTGAAGTCAGAGGAGGCCACAGTCTCAGAGGCCAGGCAGTTCTAGGGAAATCCAAGTGTGATGCGAGCGGATTCAAGGATGGTTGGAAGTCTTGGAAGGCATCTGTCAAGGGGCTGACTTAGAAAGAAGGTGAGACTTGCTGTGA